GTTCATAATTCGGTTCATGCCTATCCCTAGTCAATAGCATTAAAGGTCAATAGCAGCACCTTGAACTGGGCCCAGAAGCAAATTTGGAGCCAGTGTAGTCAGAACAAGATTGGAGCAATATAGTCCCTATGATCCATTCCAGTCAGTATTCTGGCTGCAGCATTTTGTACCAAGTATAGCTTCCAGACCGTTTTCAAGGGCAGCCCCACATAGAGTGCATTCAGTAGATGTTAGCAGGGATGTCAGCCAGGCGTGCACCAAATGCCCCGCTGTACCCATCCTTTTGAAGACAGGTTCCTGTGCAGCATTTCATATCCGAAATGTTTGGCCTGTGTGTCATATCACACCTCTCCAGAATGTGCATAGCAAGAGAGTGGACAACTGCAACTTCCTCTGTCACTGTAGCAGTGTCATGGGAGAAGATTCGCTTTTTAGAACCTCTTCTAGAACTCTTGCTAAAAAGCCACAACCATCTCCGGCGACAAAACAGCCAGTGCTGGATTCCAGTTTGGTTGTCCCTGTTGATCTGCTTGTGTAGTTTGTTAGGAGCAGGCGGTTTCATACCCACACTTCCAGTCCCTGTACAGAAACGGAGTGCATGAGAGCCGTCTTGTAATGGCTCAAAGCTTCGACCTCTCTCAGTAGACTATAGTGAAGTGAGCTGAGGTACTTGGGGAATTAGTTTGAGCAAGAAAGAAACTAGATATGAGTGCCTTGCTATTGCCCCTTCCGGTCCCCAGTCAGTCAGGCTACCTATTAAGCAAGAGAACTCCCCACCAAAGTAACCACAAAATATCATACCTTGACGACTAGAAGCTGAGTTCTGTGCAGAACACTAAGAAGCCTTGCTACACCTGAATTTTGACCTTGGGTTGTTTGGAATGGCTATCAAAGAAAGAAATCCTTTTAACGCTCCAGTTCTCTTCTGTATTTGCGTGACCCCTGCACAACTCCCAAGGCTGCTTGTGCTGAAGTGTTTGGTATTTGTTGTTTCTTTTTACCATTTTAGAGATGTGTGGGGATTTGGCGAACTTCGTGCTCTCCTATGGCAAAGTTTCCATCCTTGTGGAGGCAGGAGGAGAGTGGAACTCATTTTCTGTTGCTGCTTTGAATTCTACAGCGAGAACTTTGGCCTATTGTTTAGGCAGTCATTGTAACAGCAGGAAGGAGCTCGCAAGAGGTTATGTAGGAAGCATTTTAGGGGGAGGGGCAACCCAGCAAGCAGCTTTGGGGAAATCAAATGTGTGCAGACTGCGCGGAGATCATCGCCCTGCTGCCTTGCTATGAAAACACCTGGACTGCTCAGAATTCTGAACGTGTAACGAGGGTTCATCTTCGAGTCTTCGGTACAGGCCCACAATGGGACTGCACAGAAGACACTGAAAAACAAACAGCAACTGCAATAGGTAAAAGCAACTCTGGTTTTGAATTCCACAATGCAGTTTTTCAGCTCTCGTTGGTTCCACTTTTAATGAATGTCTTCCGTTATTGAAATTAATATGTAAAAGAAAAAACCTAACGTGCATTAAAATACAGGAATTTATAGCTGCATTAAAATTACAATTGCAACTGTTGTGGCTATTAATCATAAAGTATATATTGGGGAGAGGGGAGTATAACACTCTTGTATATTAGAATCAAACCTGGACCTGCAGATGTTTCCCATAGTAGTCCAAAATGCTTATTAATATTGATATCTCATCCTGCCCCAATCCGTTAGTGTAATCAGTGGGATGGTTGTCATTTGAAACGAATGGGTGCCTCCAGTATGTGGCACAAACTTTGAAGAAACCTCTGGCTTTCTTACGCTTCCATCTATTCATTCCGGCCCCTGGGTCGTGTGGCAGTCTGCCATGCCACAGTTTAATCCAAAGCACTATTCCAAGGTCAAATATCCCCTCCCTCCCTCCCTCCCTCCCTCCATGTTCATGTGAGGAAGGGTGCACCATATCTGCCTTCTTTGTAGAGTATGCATGTCTTAGAAGACACTGCAGTCCCTGTGCCTCCTCAGATAGGCTAGACTGATCTCAAAAATTCAACATATGATGCTAGATAGGGGCAGCAAGCCAGCCAGTTGTTAAAGGGCTGAGTAAAACAGGTATGATGCAGGATGTGGCTTGGAATTTTTCACCTGAATTATTTCCTGTGGGTTTCAGTAGCATGAGCTTCTAGCAGTCTAAAAAAAGTCACCAAACACAGCCACTGAGGGAATCCCTTGGTTAAAGCTACAGGCATTCCTTTTACCATTTTTGCATTTTTTAAACCTCCCAATGCTTTTATTTTTTTTCAGATTTCACATTTTTCTGCAAACCTGGGGCCATTTTCAGGTCTGTAGAATGATCTTGCCTAGTCACATCTCCAGTCACTGGATTTAAGTATGCAAAGATTTCCCGACTTTGCTATTAGAATGTAAGATTATGTATACCTAGCAGTAAAGCCCGTTGTGAAAGTAATACAACGGGATCTAGAAAGAGGCTCTGGGGGAGTGCTCTGGCTTTGGGCAAACAGTGTCAATTTGCTGTGGTGACCTCAGCAGGGTATAATGACAGAGTCCACTGTTTTCTCCAGAGGAACTGATCTCTGCTACCTGAAGAGCAGTTGTAATTGTGAGTGATCTGTAGCCCTCACCTGGAGATTGGCAGCAATTGTTACCCAGGACAAAGTGGCTGGTTTGGAGGGTGTAGTCTATGGCATTCTACCTGTCTGAGGTCCCACCCCTCTGCAAACCCCACCCTCTCCAGGCTCCACCCCTCAAATCCCCAGGAATTTGTCAGCATGTAGTTGGCAACCCCATCTCCTTCCCAGCTAACCATCAACCTACCATTATCTGCCCCTTTGACTTCAGCTGACTTCTGCCCTCCCTTCTGCAGAGCAGTTGTAATTCTGAGTGCTCTCCAGCCCTCACCTGGAGATTGGCAACAATGGTTCCCTATGTGGGACTGACTGGTTTGGAGGGTGGAGTCTATGGCAGTGTACCTGTCTGAGGTCCCACCCCTCCTCAAACCTCACCCTCTTCAGGCTCCATCCCTCAAATCTCCAGGAATTTCCCATCTGGAGTTGGCAACCCTATCAGGACTGGCCCCAATGTGTTTTCTCCCAAAGGCCAAAGTAGGTGACAGGACCAAGCTTAGTTGCCTACCAACATGCATTGAGGGGAATGTAGGGTTGCCAGCTCTAAGGAGGGAAATACCTGGAGTTTTGGGGGGTGGATTCTGTAGTGGGCAGCATTGGGCGGGGTGGGGGGGCGGAAGGACTCAGCAGGTATAATGTCATAGGGTCTACCCTCCAAAGCAGCCATTTTCTCCAGGGGAAACTGATCTCTGTCATCTGGAAATCAATTGTAGCAGTGGGAGATCTCCAGGTCCCACCTGGAGTTTGGCAACCCTAGGGGAAAGTGTGCTGCACAGCAGGGGGTTGAAGAGAATGGTTTGATGGGTGCTGGGCCAAGATTGGCAACAATAGTTCCCCAGGAGCAAATAGCTGGGTTGGAGGGTGGAGTCTATGGCACTGTAACCTGTCTGAGGTCCCCATCTCCCCAGGCAGCTTTTAAAACATGATCCTGGGACCTACACACCACCAGACATTCCAACTGCCTTGCAGGGGGGGGGAGTATGAGGTGTGGAATGGAGTGAAGTCCAATCAGCTTCCATATGCAAAAGACCTTGAAGGTTCCATATGCAACTGACATTCCAACTGCCTTGCGGGGAGGGGGGTGAGTTTGAGGTGTGGAATGCAGTGAAGTCCAATCAGCTTCCATATGCAAAAGACCTTGAAACGCTGGGCGGGACTGCACAAAGCAGCCAGTCAACCCAGCCAGCGTCTTCTGACTGACAGTTCAAGCGTCCATACACTAAAGGAGTGCATTTTAGAACTTTGGCACCCACTATTCAATTATATATAAGGAGAGATGTGCTCATCTGGAGGGTTTTTTTGTTTAGAATATCCTCACTGAGTGTTTAATGTCCAATCTGAAAGATTGCTACTGTTTTACTGGGAACGTCTTCCTTTAAGATGAGTAACTACAGCTCGGACAGTGGATTAGGGTTGCCAACTCTGGGTTGGGAAATTCCTGGATATTTGGGGGTAGATCCTGGAGAAGGCGGGGTTTGAGGAGGGGAGGGACCTCAGCAGGGTATAATGCCATAGAGTCTGCGTTCCAAAGCAGCCATTTTCTTTTGGGAAACTGGAAGTCAGTTGTAATCCTAGAGATCACAAACCTTCTCGCAAATCTTCACTGAATCAGTGGGAAAAGGTTTCCCCCCCGACACTTAGGTGTCTATCTGTGCTTTGCTCATCTGGTGGAGGGACCAGTGTCATTTCACCTAGATGCATATCTGTAGGTGCAAGCTTGGCCTTGAACCCCTTCCCCACCTCACTTGTTGCATAGCTAGGAATCAGACATTTCCACTTTTATGAGAACCAGTCTGTGTTGCTTTGTCCAAATTACAAACTGTGGTTTGTTTGTTGCCACTCAAACCAGTATTAACATGAGTATTCCCCATGTTCATTCTCATAACAACAAACTGTGGTTTGTTGTTGTGTATGTGAAACATGCTAAGAAATGGGTTTCTCCCCCCACCCCGGTGTACCATAGCAAGGGGCAGCCCGTGAACAGCTTGTACCTTATGTAGTATGTCTGGATATATGAAGACTCAGATTGAGTTCTATGAGTGGCGATTTCTCTTGAAGTAGTAAGAAAAATTTGCATGAATTATTGTCCCAAAACTACCATTTGCAAAAGTGGGGAAAGCGTACAGTATACAAATTCTGCTCAGGGAATGCACAAATGCAAATGGGGGCATTCAAGTGCACAACTGTAGACGTGTAAATAGAACGGCACCTTAGGATTCGAGCCACTGGAACCAGCTTATGGTACAGTGAAGAAAAGCTCTATGGTCTTCCTGCATGTTTTCTCAAAAACAGTTGAAAGTAGAGAAATGATAACTGCTCCCATTTGCAAATTAGCGGAGATGCATATCTGTCTTCTCAATGTTTTACAGTCGAAGACAACAGCCAGTCTCAGAAGAAGAAGATTACAGTGGAAGATTTGTTCAGTGAAGATTTCAAAATTCATGACCCACAGGCTAAATGGATAAGCGGTAAGTCCTGCAGTTGTTTATGGAAATAGTTTCTGCCGCTCTTTGTGCTGTTCTGTTTCGAGTGCTTTTTTGCCATATTTTGCTGCCTACCTGGGGAGTCCCTGAAATAGGTAGAGACCTATTTTGTCTGAGGTTGCCCTGGGTTTGCTGGATTTGTCCTCTGCATGGGTGTCAGGCAGCTCACTTTTAGACAGAACAATGGCAGTAGGGCAAACCATCCACAAGACGGAACTGTCTGGGCAAATCATGGTTGTGCCATTTTCTTCTTTCTTTCTTCAGATTCTCCCCAAATACCACTCGGTTTTGGGCAGACAGATTACGTATTGCTAAGCAAACAGTAACTCAGCGGGCCAGCCGCTGCTTGTCACCCCCTTGGAGGAGCTACCTTGTGTTCTTTCCATCCACAAATTTTCCAAAATTTCCATCCACCTCCTCACGGGCAAGATTTTCCCTCAGTTTTTTATTTCCCTTTTGTGACTGAGCCGACCTAGTTGTCTCTTTTCTTTTTTCCTGAAGAATTCTGGCTATTCCACCCTGTCACAGTGTAATCTTTTGGCAGTTTGCTCAGCCCAGGAAGTTGAGGGAAGGCATGGGAGCCCCCTTTAATGTATACTACGTAAATGGCACTCGAGAAGTTTTTATATAACAAATTAACAAAACATTTTATTCAACACAGAGGGGAAAGGTCAGGTGAAACTGGGGTAAAATTCCTGAGGTAACTCAGTATAGATAACTCTGAGGTAAAACCAGTGCATGCAGAGACTTTAGTTCTTATGTTTCAGGCTAATGAGAGTTTCTTAAGCTATTCACAGTGACTTAAATCCTTATGTTGAGAGGCTTTTATTCCAGTGTTTTCCCAAACACTCCAGCATACTTTCTTTGAGTATTCCCTGACCCTTTTGGTTTCCAGAAGGCTGGTACACACTTTTGAGTACCCAAACCCCTTTTCTTGAAACACTAGTACTTGTCTTGAGTTTTAACTGACTCTTAAGGTCCCTAAAGGCAGTTTCTAACCATATCAGACCAGGGATCTCTGCACTCTTCAGAGCTAACTCCCTGGTTGACTGGGTAAGGAAATTCTTCTCTCTCTAGAAGATCTATCCCCTTTCCCAAAAGGGAGTCTTCATCTAACTACCCACTGGTCCTTGCCAGCTTTCCCCAGTTCTCTTGTCTCTGTTAAACTGCTCTCAGTCATGTCTGAATTCCAAAACTGTCAGTACCTGACTCTTCTCAACTAGGGCTGAAATCAGACTCAACTCAGTCAGGGCAGAAATCTGACTTGACTCTCTCCTCAGCATGCAGCTCTCAAGTCTTTCTCAGCTGATGCTAACCAATCAGATTGCTTGGAGCAGCTTGTCACTCAGGACTCTCTGTTTCTGTGAAGAATTAACCCTTCACAGTCCTTTACTCTGTTTGTACAGCACTTCTAAGCTTTTAAAAAGTACAGTCCATCACAATAGCAGAATGGATGCATGCAGAAATTGACAGCTGTGGGTACTTACTACTTTTGCAGCTGCATACATCAGCCTCCGCACACTTGTCTATGCACATTGGAATATATATCTATATACACACACAAAACCACACTCTTCTGACTCTGGATGTCAGTGTAGTCTATGTATATATGAGCATAGCCCTCTCCATGTGGACCCAGTCACCCAAGCATAGTCATGCTACTATGCAAAGAAGCTATGGAGAAACTCTTCCTGCATTGCTGTAGCAACAAATGGAGGGTCCTTTCTTCAGGTGTCATTGGAGGTTGCAGAAACTGTTTCAGCTCTCCTATCAATAGTCACTCAGTTAAAGTTTTAATGTTTTTAGGTTTTATTATGGACTTCAATGTAATGAAGCATGTCTGAATCCTCTTGCCTTGGAACAGATTATTTCTGTAAGGGTGATGCCAAAGGTGCAACCGTTACTATTGCTAAGAGCAAATACTTAGACTCTGTCATGCAGATTCCGTGCTAAGAAACAGGTGTCACTTAGCATTTTGCAGCCAGATACAGAGGTGTGTGTGTGTAAATTGCTGTCAAGTCACAGCCGACTTATGATGACCCCCCTCCCATATGGTCTCCCATCCAAGTACCGACCCTGCTTAGTTTCTGAGATCTGATGCGACCCAGCCAGCCACACTATATCATTCAACATCCCAGATACAGATATAGAAGTATAAAATTTGGCTCTTTAAAACACTCTGAAGCAATAGAGCAACAGTTGGCAGAGTGGGATGCCCATACCTGCTGGTCATTTTTTTCCCTTTAAAAAAACCCCTGAAGTTAGGAAGCAATATATGAAGACCTCTATTTTTTTTTCTCCATTTGGACAGGGGCATTTGAGTGCAGGGGCACCAGGGGCAGCCTTTTAGTGCCCAGGCCCCAGCACTGTCCTTCAGGTCACCACACTGACAGGCAAATCAGGGTGTGCCTACGCTGGCTGGTTAGCAGCTCAGGGCTCACCTGCTCTAGCCAGATGGCTGGCCAGTGGCTTGAGGCTCACCTGAGCCCGCCTGGGGGGCACCTGAGTCAGCTTGCTTGGGGTGGTAAAAGCCTTTGAGCCAGCCCTGTACATCAGGGGAACAGCAGGTCATGGGTCAGCAATTTTGAGAGAAGAAGGAGGAGGAAGAGATTGGATTTATACTCCACCCTTCACTCGGAGTCTCAGAGCGGTTTACAATCTCCTTCCCTTCCTCTCTCCACAACAGACACCCTGTGAGGTAGGTGGGGCAGAGAGAGCTCTGAGAGAACTGCTGTAGAGAGAACAGCTCTGAGAGAACTTGTGACTGACCCAAGGTCATTCCAGCAGCTGCATGTAGACAAGTGGGGAATCAAACCCAGTTCTCCCAGATTAGAGTCCGTGGACTTATCCACTACAGATTGGATGGATGGATGGAATGGGTAGGTAGGTAGGTAGGTAGGTAGGTAGGTAGGTAGGTAGGTAGATAGATAGATAGATAGATAGATAGATAGATAGATAGATAGATAGATAGATAGATAGATAGATAGATAGATACCTGCCTCTGCTACCCTAGGTCATCCTGATTAGGGATTTTTTTTAATTACTCACATTTATATACCACCTTTCTTCTACTAAATTCAAGGTGTCATATGCTGGATTCATATCCAGACACCTCTTTCTCTACCAGCTTTTCTCCTAGGCATGTTGAGCACCTACCTTTGTCGACCATCCCTGATTACACATAAGATCAACTCAATTTTTGTTGTTGTTGAAATTCCTCTCAAGCACCATGTTGTGTAGATTTGCACAGGTGCTTGGTGCCAGGTTATGCCTTTGGAAAGAACTTTATAAGAAACTTGACTAAATCATCTAAATGGCTGAAGAAGAGGCACATATCTCCTATCTTCGTGGTCAGATGATTAAAGTACCCTGATCATTAAAGTGACTATGAGACACAGGATCACTTTGAGTATATTTCCTCTTTGCCCTCTCTGTGATTGATGCATCCTTTAAATGCCCAATATTGAATACCCTCCATTGTCTGCTGTTTGTGCCTGCTTAGTCAGGGACATCTGTTCATGAAGTGATCACAAAAAGAGATTGCAAGAGTAGCTAGTTTCATAGGGAGTCAAACACCAAAGACACACCGAGACATCTAAATAGTAAGTCCCAACGTGAAAATCTCCAATGGAGATAGCAGAGGGTGGGGTAGCAGCTATGAGAAAGCCATCTAATCATACAAGAAAGGAATCTAATACACACACAAACACACACTCACACACACACAAATAGCCTGGCAAATAGCTGGATGTCTGATCACAACCATTATGGAAGATGGAAGCTGAACAACTGGGTGTTCGAGCGTAACTGCTATCTCATTGCTGATAGCTACCTCGAGTGGCTGCCTTCTTTAAAAGGCATGAGGACTCTGTGTAATGTGCCATTTGGCCTTCATGTTCTCTTGTAGGGACTGGAGTCCTGTGTCCAGTAAGGTTAACAGAAAGTCAGTCATTGACTGAGATTTGGTTCAGGTCAAAAAAGGCGGAAGGTTGATCAGGCACTGAAAAAGATCTATAGTGAGCTGTCACTGGGAAAGCCATTATATAAATGTCAAACAGTTTTTTGAACTGAATGGCTTAGCCTTTTGCTGCTGCTTTATATTATGACACGTCAAATTCTGATTTCAGTTACTTTTTCGGCGTAAAAACTCAAAGAGTCTCCATGGGGCCTCTAGCATTTTTCTTCTGTTGTATAAGTACTGTGTTACAGGGATGTGTGCCTCTTGCTGGAAAATATTAAAATGCCATCCTTTTCATCCGAGGTCGTCAGAACAATTTAGCAGCCTTAATTAGCTCTTGCATCACCCCTGTGGGGCAAGCAAATATTATTATTGCACTCATTTTACAGCTGCGTAAACAACAAAATAGAGCAATGAATCTTTAAGGTCATCAGCAAGACCTGTGGATGGGAATACAATATGGTGCACCAGTCTCCTAGGCCCTGCCATCAGTGACACACTGTTCAATCCGCAACATGCAACCCCTTTCTACTCTGTTAGAACTTGCATTTGTCTTGAAAGCTCCAGGAGCAGACCAAACTCTTCCGGAGAAGAATGCTGAACATGAGAAGAGCCATGAGGGATCAGACCAAAAGCCCACGATTCTGTTCACTCAGTGGCCAACCAGCAGCCTCTAGGAAGCTCACAAGCAGGATGACTGCAACAGCACCCTCCTGTCCATGCTCCCCAGCAACTGAGGGAACAGATATTCATCATGACTCGTAGCCACTGACAGCCCCATTCTCCGTGGATTTGCCCACTCCCGTTTTAAAGTCTTCCAAGTTGGTGGCCGCCCATTGAAGATTATGGACAGGTGGGTCGCCATGTTGATCTGAAGCAGCAGAACAAAGTTTGCATCCAGCAGCACCTTTAAGACCAACAATGTTTAGCTCAAGGTATACGCTTTCATGTGCAAGCACACCTCTTCAGGTTATCCGAAGAATATCTAGCATCTGAAGACGTGTGCTTGCACACAAAAGCTTATACC